CCGACGGCCGTTCGATAATCGTTCGCCGGGTGTTTTGACAGATGCCCTCCGCCTGTATACGTGGGTTTCTGCCCGTTTCGCCACGCGTGCCCGTTACCCCGTGACGTGCCCAACCCATTTCCATCAAGCGGCAAGAGGAGTTGGCCCAAACTTGCCAAGACAATGACAGAGCAGGCGCCGTTATACGTTGTGCAACCTACATGGGATGCGCCCACGTGGCACGATGCACAAGATAACAGAGGGACGAGGAGCGAGGGCCCAGGTTTGAGGAAGACATGGGGACAGGAATGAATGGCAGGAAAAGGACGCGCGGGGATCTGAACGGACAGCGCGGCAGCAGTAGAGGGAAGGTGGCAAGGGGGCAGGGGACGACGGCGACAGTGACGGGAAGATGCCGAAGAGTGTTGCTGTTGTCGGTAGTACGCTAAAGATGCAGCGCTGCCTGCGCCACGATCGCCGCGGCGCGCGAAGTCTGCTTAAACCTGCTCAGAGTTACTGCAAGAACCGCGCTGGCGCCGCCGCGGTAGCGCGTGCCGGACCTCCTCTCCCGGCTCCTCCGCCTCCTCCACTTCGTGTTCCCTTTCCTCCTCCTCCTACGCCTCCTCCTCCTCCTCCTCCTCTTCTGCCTTTCCTCCTCCGCCGCCTCGGGGCCCGTCAAACGCTATCCCTGCACCCCTGCTGGGACACTGACGACCCTGGAACTCCAAACAACCCCCAGGAACTCAAAACAAGGCGTCACCCCGCTGGACCCCAGGGATGGCGAGCTCTCCTGGGTGGTCCACGTAAGACGTCACTCCGCTGGACCCCCCGCAGCCCTCTAAAAGTGGCGACAACTTTGCAAATCGCAGCCCCCCAGGGATGGCGAGGTCTCCTGGTGGTATGAATCGTATGTCACTCCGCTGGACCCTCCAACAGCCCTCCAACGTGGCGGCAATTTCGCAGATCGCAGCCCCCCACACGAATGGCGAGGTCTCCTGGTGTGATCTGGGTGAGATGTCACTCCGCTGCGCCCCCCAGCAGCCCTCGGAAGTGGTAGCAGTTTCGCCAATCGCAGCCCCCAAGGGATGGCGAGGTCTCTTTTGAGTCGGGGTAAGACGTCACTCCACTGGACCCCCCATCGGCCCCCGAACGTGGCGACGGTGTCGCAGATCGCACCCCCCCGGGGATGGCCAGGTAGGACGCAAGCCGGCACGCAGGAAGGAAGTGTGAGAGCCAGGACAGTTGAAGAGAGGAAGGGGGCAGGAAAAGAAGAAGACGCGCGGGCACTGCTCTGTATAAAACGAGTAACCAATTCAGGAAAGTTGGAAACATCTGCCTCCACGACGCCGCCGAGACGCTTTCCATGTGGCGGGATGTGCCGAAGGCTTGTCGGGTGTTTTGGCACATGCCCACTGTCATGCGGGTTCTCACCCCATTCCCCCCGATGCGTGCACGACGGATACTGAACATGTCAGCCCAAAGGGGCACAAAAAAAACCAAGAGGCCCCCATGAAGCCCCAAAAAAGCTCAAAGAAGCCCCCGGAAAGGCGCACATGAGGCCCTCAAGAGCAACACGCAACCACCGCCAATTCCCAAGGAGGTCGGCGGTGTGGCGCTAGCCCAAGAATTTACCGTTCGAGCAGGAGGGGGAGGAAGAGGAGGAGGAGGAGGAGAAGGAGGAGGAGGAGGAGGAGGAGGAGGAGGAGGAGGTGGAGGAGGAGGAGGAGGAGGAGGAGGAGGAGGAGGACGAGGAGGAGGGAGGAGGCGGAGGAGGAGGAGGAGGAGGAGGAGGAGGAGGAGGAGGGAGGGGAGGAGGGAGGGGGAGGACGACGACGACGAGAAGGAGGAACACGAGCCTCGGCAGCGGAGGCGCCGGGGGGTCGGAGACGAGGAGGAAGAGGAGGAGGAGGAGGAGGAGGAGGAGAGGAGAGGAAGAGGAAGAGCGAGGAGAGGAGGGGAAGGAGGAGGAGGAGGAGGAGGGGAAAAATAATACGGACGAGAAGGAGGAGGACGAGGGGCACGGGGAAGAGGAGTGAAGAGGAGGAGGAGGAGGACGAGGACGATGATGATGATGAGGAGGAATGGGGAAAAGGGAGGGAAGCGGAGGAGGGGGAGGGGGAGGAGGAGGAGGAGGAGGAGGAGGAGGAGGAGGACGACGACGAGGAGGAGGAGGAGGAGGGCGGGCATACCATGATGATGCTGATGATGATGATGATTGTGATGATGATGATGACGATGATGATGATGATGATGATGATGATGATGCTGATGCTGCTGCTGATGATGATGATACCCGCGTCTCAAGGGGTCAGGAGCTCCTAACTCGTACTGCCCCTCGGACCGAGACGTTTCCCTGTGGTCCTGCGGCGGCAACGCTCGGTCTCGTGCCCAAGGCACCCTCGCAGATTCACCTCAGTGCCAAGAGGTCACCCACCGCCTCGGCTGAAGCAAGCGGTTGACACGGCATCCGAGCAGTCACGGCGACTCAGCCCACAACGGCGGCACGCACGCGCCAGCAGGGCAACATAATCTTCTTGTGGCTCATGGCCCAGGGCGGACACCGTTGCTCTGCCGAGGCGCGCGGAGGCGATCCCGAGGGTCGGAGCATGCACCTACCCCCCGGTTCTGCCTCCGCGAGCGGCGCGAACAGCAGTGCGATCGAGCGGGCTGGTGCGCAGCTAGCGCTGCCAACCTGAAAGAACTGCAGGCAGGTGCACAGCCCGAGCCAAGCAGCATCGAGCGAACGCCGGAAGAGCAACACAGTCCAAGGCCCGCGGCCACACAGACACTGTAGCTCATGCAGTGCCTGCGGAGTTCGATCCTGAACGTCAATACTCACCTACGCCCACGGTTCGCTCTCCGCTTGTCAGCCTCGGAAGCGCGGGCAAGCAGCGAAACAAATACACAGCGAGCCCAAGAGGGGCGGGAGGGAGTGAACCCTCCCGTATGCCGAGCCCCGTAGGGTACAGCCTACGCCACGGGGTCCCTCCCCCATCCGAGGGCAAGCACGCTCGTCGCAGGCATCCGTGATCCTCGGACCCGCCTGGCGCCGCGAGCAGAGGCGGCGGGAAGGGAACCCAGGAATGTGCGGAGCCCGCCAGGGGCTGCACCTACACCACAGGGTCCCTTCCCACCCCAACGACCGCACTCGACGGACCGATGGGCCCCGAGCCGCAGTGTGCGGGCCTACATTGAGCAGAGCTGGCAGCAGGGCCAGCGAGAGGCCCCGTAGGGCATTGTGAATCGTAAGCGGCAGCAGCTGGCGAGCCAACTGCCGCATCAGACATCTGAGCGTCTAAGGCCTGGGGCGCCTCGATTGGGGCCCCGAGGAGGAGGCCGGCCGCTGCGAGGGCCAACGCCGAGGCGGCCGCCGCCTCCAGGAGCTCGCATGCAGACAACTGTTCCTGCAGGGGCAGTGGTGTCGCCCGCAGCAGCTGGGCCAGCGCCTCGGAGGACTACGAGACTCCCCCCCGCTGTACAGTGCTGCTGGATGATCGCCTGCAGGTCGTCCCACTCGACCTCGTCCACGTGGGCTCCAGGGGCCGCGGCGCCCTCGGGAACCACTCACCAGATCGCCCTCGAGCTCCTCGGGAACGGGGGTCGCAGCCGCCCAATTCAGCTCGTCGGCGAGGCGCCTCATGTCGGTGGGATCCCTGCGGTGCCACAGCCAAGTGAGAGCCCTGAAGCCGAGTGGGCCGTCGGTGAGAGCGGGCAGGGGAGGCAAGGCCCTGAGGCCCACAGCCCCCTCGAGGATGACTTCGAAGGTGTCGAACCCGTCGGCGAACTCGCAATCATCGCTGATGATGATGATGATGATGATGATGATGATGATGATGATGATGATGATGATGATCATGATGGTGGTGGTGGTGGTTAGGATGATGCTGCTGCTGCTGTTGCTGCTGATGATGATGATGATGATGATGTTGATGCTAATGCGAATTATGATACTGCTGGTGATGATGAGGATGAGGATGGTGATGCAAATGATGTTGATGATGAGTATATTATTACGGAAATGGCTTTTATGATGCTGATGACGACTGTGATGATGATGCTAGTGATGGCGCTACTGATGCTGATCATGATGGTGATGATGACGATGGCGACAATGACGATGACGCTGATGATGACGATGGTGATGAGGACGATGCTGATAATGATGATGCTGATGTTGATGACGATGCTGATGGTGATAAGGATGATGACAACGATGATGATTATCATGATGACGATGAAGCTGGTGCTGATGCTGATGATGATGATGATGCTGATGCTGCTGCTGATGCTGAAGCTAATGATGCTAATGCAGATGACGATGATGATGATCATCATCATCATCATGATGTTGATGCGGATGATGATAATGATGATTATGAGGATGATGATGCGTATGATAATGCTGATGCTGAAGATGCTGAAGATGATGAAGATGAAGATGATGATGATGATGATGATGATGATGATGATGATGATGATGATGATGATGATGATGATGATGATGATGATGCTGCTGCTGCTGCTGCTGCTGCTGCTGCTGCTGCTGCTGCTGCTGATTATGATTATTATTATGATAATGATGAGCAGGAGGAGGAGGAGGAGGAGGAGGAGGAATTGGAGGAGGAACACCGGCTGCGGCGCCTGGGGGGGATGAGGGGGCAGGAAAACAGGGTGGTGAGCTGCTGTGGCGCCTGCGGGGAGGAAAAGAGGGGGGTGAGGGGGGAGGAGGCAGGAGAGGAGGAGGAGGAGGAGGAGGAGGAGGAGGAGGAGGAGGAGAGGAGGAGGAGGAGGAGGAGGAGTAGAGGAAGAGGAGGAGGAGGAGGAAGAGGAGGAGGAGGAGGAGAAGGAGGAGAAGGAGGAGGAGGAGGAGGAGGAGTAAGAGGAAGAGGAGGAGGAGGAGGAGGAGGAGGAGGAGAGGGAGGAGAAGGAGGATGAGGAGGGGAAGGAGGGGGAGGAGGAGAGAGAGGAGGGGAGGGAGGAAGAGGAGGACCAGGAGGAGGAGTCGCCCCCCCCAGGCCCGCCTCCTGCTAGGCGCCGCCGCACCGCGGCCTTGCGCTCCAGGGCGGACAGGCGGGCCGAGGCCGCGGAGCGGCTCAGGCCGGCCTGGCGGCGCGGGTGGCAGCCGAGGGGTCGGGAGAGCAGGTCCACACCGACTGCCGCGGAGTCGTGTCCCGGGGACCCGGGGAGCGGCGGCCATGGGGGAACGAACAATGACAATGACACGACAGTGGGCACTGACGTCAGGGTTTTGAGGACTGCTCAGAAGGCCCGGGGACTTCCGAGCCTTGAGAAGGCTCGCCCATCCTCTTTTCCCCCCGGGCTCGCTGGAGCCCCCCGGCGGCGCCTCCGGCGCCGCCCCTGGCGCGCTCCGCGCGCCAGGGAGGGGGGGTCCAGCGCCGATCCGAGAAATCCGCGCGGACCTCCGAGTTTTCGTTTATATCATTGCTTGTTCCCCTAAGCCAGCCCGGGGGGAAAAGAGGATGGGCGAGCCTTCTCAAGGCTCGGAAGTCCCTGGGCCTTCTGAGCAGTCCTCAAACACCTGACGTCAGTGCCCACTGTCGTGGCCTCGCGATCAAAAGCGGCCCGCGGCCTGGGGGGAGGAGATCGAGAACCTGTCGGGCCGTGCCCTCGGCCCCTCCGGTGTTCGCATCATCAGCCCACTGCTTGACCACAGCGCGGGGGAAATTGCTCATCATGGACAGCCTGCAGCACGTCATATGGGACGGCACGTGCGAGACTGTTGGCCCTTCCCTCCCCTTCGGTGGCGACTCATGGGAGTCTCCTATACCACCTTGTCGGCTCTTGCGAATCGACGCCAACCGACGCCAGTCGACGCTGAAGCGACGCATATCGACGCGAAATCGCCGACATCTCATCGACTCCCAGACGCTAATCGACGCTGAAGACGGCATTAAGAGGGTATACCAGGCTCCCCTGATTCGCTACCGAGACGTCATATAGGACTGCACGTGCCTAATTGGTGGCCCTTCCCTCCCCCGTGAGGAGGGGCCCAGTGGGCACGATGGCCTCGGAAGTGCCCCCCCTCCACCCTGTGCGGAGAGAACCAAGGGGCGAGGCAACTCGTCCGCGAGGGTCCGACCGTCCGAGCCCGGCACCCAAGCTCGAGGGCGGAGGCGAGCAAGGCCGTAGCGGGTCGAGCGAGTCCGCAAATGCTGCGCCCTCCCAGAGCACGCTGCCGCTGCTGAAGCCCATGGCCGCCAGCGACTCGGCACCAGGGCTGTCACCAAGCGGCGCTCTTCGTTTTCGTTCTGCTTCCGTTTTCCCTCGCCTTGCCTTCCGTCCGCCTGGAACGCAGAACGAGATCGAAACGAAAACGGCCCACGAAATCGCCCAAACACCGCTGAGGCCCACCCCTGCTCGGCACGGAGCCGGCGGGCCGGGGCACACGTGGAGGGCCGAGCTCCCGCGGACGGCCTCTCGTCATCCCGGGGCCCAGCTCGCGCCTCACGCCGCCGCACCCACGGGGCTCCCACGAAGCCGGCCCCCCCCCCCAAGAACAAAGCGGATGGGCCAAGGGCGAAGGGCCACGCCGCGCTCGCCCCCGGTGTCGGGCTTTGGGAGGAGCCCCTCGAGGACCGGCGGCCATTGAGAAGGAGGAAGAGGAGAAGAAGGATGAGGAGGAGGAGGAGGGGGAGGGGGAGGAGGAGCCATGACCAGGAGACGTCCTCCTCGCAGGCCTGGAGCCAGAATCAGGAGCTCCGATCGAGAGGCGGGGGGTGGGAGGCGCGCAGGTCCAAGGGGCCTAGGTCGGTTGATCGAGCCTCTGCCTGTGGAGGCTCGGGCCCCGCGGAGGCAGCGCGAGATACGGTGTGGGCATTGGACAAAGAACCCTCAGATAAAGGAACACAGGGTCTGAAGCTTGTGGAAATCCAACAGTGGATAGGCAAGGGATATCACAGCCACCTTCATCAGATAAGGAATCCTCCAGGGTCTGCAGCCTCCTGGGCACATTCCTCAACGAACGCCTGAACCGTATCCTCACTGGTCATCGGCTGCCAATCTTCGCCTGTGCGTGACGTGTCTCTCATGCATTGCAGCGAAGCGCTGCAGAGACGCCTCGACTGTCCACCGAGGCACCCACAGAGCACGCATGTGCTGCATCAAGGTGGCCAGATCTATGCGGGAGTCAGGCTGGAGGAGGAGGAGGAGGAGGAGGAGGAGGAGGAGGAGGAGGAAAGGGAAAAGGAGGAGGACGACAAGGAGAAAGCGGAGGCGGAGAAGGACGAGGAAGGGCAAAACGATGTGGAGAAGGGCGAATAAGGGGTCTAGACGAAAAGGATGGCGAGCAGGAGGCCGAGAAGGTGGAGGAGAGGGGCACATTCGCTGGATTCTCATGCTTCTGTAATCAGAAACCGGGTGGAGAAAAACAAGGAGGGGGTCTACGGTACGGAACGCATCTTGGCGTCGCCGGCCAGGACCAGCGGTGACCTCGCCGTTATTGGCACCGTTGGCTTCCAGTTGGCTGCAAACAAAAATTGCACGAATGCCACTCTTAGTCTCACCAGATAGCACGCCATCGCAACTACCGTTTTTCTCCGCATCGTCCTCCTCCTCCTCCTCCTCCTCCTCCTCCTCCTCATGATTATCATCATTCTCTCTCCTCCCTTCCTCCTCTTCACTTCCCAGTCCGACTCCTCCCTGCGCCACGAGAAAGAGGAGGTCCTGTGTGCGAAAGAAGGAGGTTGAGAACGAGCGACCGAGAGAAAAGAGGCAGAGGAAGATGCGGTCGTGAATGTGCCGTGCGCGACAGTGTCAAGACCCGTGGGCGTGAGTCGCTGCAGGCACACCGGCGGCTGTGCGCGTCGTGCCGGCCGTGGTCCCCGCTTCAAGGTTTTGACCCCGTCTGACGGCACCTCTGGCACGACAGTCGAAACACGCGGGCGCCTGGTTTCTGGCTTCGCGCTGCGCGAAGCGCGAATAACTTCCTGCTCTCGCGCCGCACCCAAAGGGGGGAAGAGGAGGACGAGGGGGAATCGGAGCCCGGACCGCGCAGCGTGCAGAGCGAACAATTTCGCGCGCCCTTGCTTCAAGGTTTTTTTCCCCTGCCACCACCTCCCCAGCGGTGGCCCAACAATGAAAAAAATACACAACCGAGAGCGTACGCTCTGGGACAAGGCTGGGTGGCGTTCGCGGTCTGTTTCTTCCACTGCCACTTCCGCCGCCAGCTTGCCCGACCTCTGGCGTCTGGTTCCAGGCGGCCTGCACCGCAGGATGCAAGCGGCAGCGAACTCTCAGCCTGCCTTCAAACAGCAACTTCGGAGCAACAGTGGCACCGCACCTCCAGGCATTGCGCGCGAAATACAACGCATCACATACTGAGGTAAGCCTAACGTCGGCTTCCTGACTGAGGCGTGTCAAAAACAGAGGGGGGAAAATCAATCATGCCCATGGGCAAGTATTTCATCGTGCAGCCATCGGTCGATCATCTCGCGAAGCCGAAGGCATACTGAGTAGTGTCTGAGGCAGTTTCTGGCCTGGTTCCCTCGGCGCCCGAACATGCACCTCCTCGCCACCGTCTGCAAGAGCGCCGCCGCACAGTCCCCGACACGCGAACCGTACTTATGTCATCGCAAAGTAGGGGTTCGCAACACGACACACACACACAAAAGACGATACGAAATGCTGGTAAGATCATCAATGTCTACTTCGGGGAGCCACCGATCGACGCGGGCTTTCAGAATATCGAGTGCACTACGGCAAGGACGACGATACATCCTCAACAGGTGAGCATAAAGTTTGCGATCTGCATTGTTTTCCTCGGCGTGCGCGGCGGCGGATCAAGCACAAGCAACGCAGGCATCGCCCCCCCCTCCTGGCTTCCCCCATCTGGTAAGTGATGCATTCCTTCCATCATCCCCACATCCCACGTACAATGCAACATTCATCTGAACGAATAGAGGCTCGCACCTGCCCAAGCTCTGCAGGATGCTCGTGGCACTGTGCCGCGCGCCGTGCACGCGCCGTAATGCTCGCGCACGGGAAGTGCGTCGAACTGACCCCACCACCACACATACGAAGGCCTTCCAACAACCCCGTGGACATGGCGTTCCACGGCCCATTCGTCAACAATTGGGCGCATTGCCGATAGGCAACGAGGAGCGCGCGAGGTGGGACATAGACTTGGAAGATGTACTGCAGGAGAGACAAGCGGAGGACATGAAATGTGCGCATGCCCAACGGAAGGCCAAGCCCAGCATGCCGTGCGGCCATCGTCCCATCCAGCAGCTCGGGGATAGCCTCGCCCTCAGCTCTGGCTGGGCCCTCTGGCCCGATCACCGCCCCAAAATATTTGACCGCGCGCGCAACCGCCACGCGCCCACAACTGGCCCCCAATCGACCCGCGAGGGTAGCGATAGCCTCCAGAGAAGCGCCCCCCACCACAAGCACAACGCATTCCCGAAAGTTGAGGCGCAATCCAACCGCGCCCTCCAAATCCCCGAGGAGCCCAAGAATCGGCCGAAGCCCGCACTCGGCATTAGGGATAAAAAAATAAGGTCATCACAATGCGCAGACATTCTGTCCACGCGCTCACTACCGTTCCACGCGAGCCACCGTGGGGCTGGATCTGTCGCCGCGGCAAACAGGCGCACGCTCGAAAGGCCACCCTGCCGAACCCTCCTTCCGACCTCAATCGCATGTTCAGAAATCATCCCCCCCTCAACATGTTGGTTCCGGTATTGTCGGCATACAGAGCACAAGCATAAACCGATCTGCTCGGGGGCGCCCATGCACTCGAGCACTCTCAGGATCCAAGCAAGGTGGATCGAGGGAAACGCTGCCGCAGAGTCCGTAAATATCTGAACACCGTTCCGGCACCCACCCACATGTCGTTGCATCCCCCCCCCCCCCCCGCCTGTCTGCAACCGCGATGTTGGGCGCAATAGACCGACCGCGCACCCCCCCCTCCGTTGATCCACATAAGCTGCGCGCGGCGCGATGGCACCAAGCGGCGCTCCAAAGGCCAATGGCGTGACCTTGGCGTCTGCGTCGCAGAGGGCTAAAGGCCGCGCGGCCCCAGGAGCTCGGGAGACACCGCTTGCCCTGTCCTCGGCACGAGCACCTTCTGGCAACAAACAGAGCAGCATCTCGCGCATGTTCGCAAGGGGCGTCTCGCTCCCACTGTCAAACAACTCGGCGCGCGCATCGTAAAGCAGCCCGCCTGCCAAGCAGCACGCGGCGTCCCATCCCCCCCAGGGACGGCGCCCCCCCCCCTTCCGAATCTCACGGCCAAGCTCCTCACGCGCAAACCGCCGCTCTGGGCGGCGTCCGGGCTCGAGCCCATCAACGTGCAGACAGTGCTCAAGCTCCAGGTCAAAGCGCTCGATCTTCCTGCATCTAGCGAAAGACCCCTCCAGAAAAATGCTCCGCGAGCGCATTGCTGGCAGCGTCGGTCGACGCACGCGCGCTGCCATCCTGGCCCCGCGCTCCATCGAGAAAAACACGTCTCTTAAACTGCTGCCAGAACTGCCGCGTTCGACGCAGCTTGCTCTTCAGGTTCTCGCGCAGCCTCCTTCTCCTCCGTAATTCCCGGCGTCCCTCCACGCTGAATCTCCCTCTCCCGGTTAACAATGTGCTCGAGCTGTAACTGTCTAGCGTGCTGACATGGCCCCTCCAGGTCCGCGCGGTACATCCGCCCCTAATCGAAGAATCGTAGCGCGGCAGGGTGCGCAACGACCGCGCGCGCACGCAATGAATCGCCCAAGCCGCGCCCTCCCTAAGAGCATTCATAATCCAATAGTGCTATTCCTGAGGGCACTTTGCAGGCCGCCCGCGCGCCGCCTCCCTAGCTGCAGCGACGAGCTCCCCCAGGCGCGCCTTGGCGAGCGTGAGCCGCGCGGTTGGTGTAGACCAGTCGGAGTGGCAGCTAACGTATCCGACGCAGCTCGGCGATGCTCGTCCGTGCGTCGCAACCGCGCAGGGACGCAACGACCCCCCCCCGGGTTGAATGCCTCCAGAACGACGACCATCGGCCTATGATCTGATGAGCAGCGTTGAAATGAGCCGTGGACTGAGGCGCGCACAGTCGCATCCGCCGGCGCCGCCGACGGCGCATCAGAATACACCCTGCCCAGCCTAGCTGTGTGCCGGGTCGAGCGGTCAGCGCTCCATCCAAGCCGCGTCGGTTCATACTGCGCACGTTCAAACCTGTCGGCGCGCGGAGAATCGAAGAGCCCGAGATGCACCCGACCCCCCTCGCCCCACCGCAGCCCATCTTCAGTCATCCACCCCCCCCCACATGGTGAAATTCCAATCCACAACAATAAGGTTGAGAGAGCGGGCGCCCCATGGCAAATTGTCGCGGACTCTGCGCAAACAGGCAGCGTAGATAGGCGCGCCCATATTGGCATTGGGCACATGGTCATCGACCACTTCCTTCCATCCATCCACGTGGCAATGGCCCTCCCGCCCCCCAGAAGCGGATGTCAAATGCAAGAAAACTCTCTCCTGAGGCGCTCGCGGATGATGGCGACAACTCCCCCTGCTGCATTGAGATCTAAGAAGCTGGCTCCAATCGCTACGGATTTCAACCGACGAAGCAACGCAGCCGCATCCCCTACATGTCCGCGGCACACTTGCAGACGCACAACATCGCCTGGCACAATGACCAAGACCGCAACCGCATTTCCTCGCGCAAGTGCAACTCCCACCCCGCATCCTCCCAAATAGCCCATGGGCGTTCCAAGCGCACACCGAAGGGTGGACTATACGAGACACCTCTAACCGCAGGGACAGCGCCCGGACGCCCCGCGGGGTCCGCCAAAGGAAAGAACCTAAGGCCAATATTCCGAAACGAAGGCTTCAGGGATTCAGCAGAAGTCCTGGACGCTCCCAGAGGGGGCGAGCCAGCGGCGGGGGGAGAAGTTAACCCGCCAGGAGACCCCGCCGACGGGCCGCTATCTAAGAAAGCGCTATGCGAAGCAATCACAGTTTGGACGCGCTGATAAAGCCTGCCGCCTTCGCGCGCATCTTCGCGCAGGCGCCCCGGCAGCGCGCGGGCCTCGGCACGCGTCTCTGACTGACCGTCAACGCCGATTGAGAACGGGCTGAATGGGCACAGTGAGGGCAGCTAGCGCCGCAGGAATCGCATCCTGGATGCCGAAGCTACCGAAACCCTGCTCATGGGCCGCATGTTGCACCTCCTCACCCTCCAGCTTGAGCTGCACAAGCGTCGTCGGGCACTCTGCTTGAGCAGCGAATATATGGCCCCTCCGAACCCGTTCGAGTCGCATTCGCACCTGCCCCCCAGGGCCTCACTGATCACTTTGCGCACGGGGCCCATGATGAAGAAGAGCCTCCTTCCCTGCTGGCTGCTGCCCCGCTTCCGCCTCGGAGTGTACTTCGCCTCCGAGTCTACCGGGCTCTGGAACCGAAACCCATCCAGGGCGCGAAACTTCGCGATGAAGTCCGAGCATCGGCTCGGGCTGTTGAACTCGAGGACTGCCTTCCTGGACATGTCGGAGGCCGTGGTCATTATGCTACTCCTCTCGTGCTCAGGCGAGCGTGCATCCCGAAACGCTTCCGCCGCCCTCCTCAGTATCTTGCCCATCAACGGGCAAGGAACCCGACAAGAATCAGCCTGCAAGCGCCTTCCTGCTCCGTGGCTGAACCACTAGCAGCACCAGAGCCCGGCCTGGACGGCCGACCCTTCTCACCCGCCAACTTCTTCTCGGTCGAGACGACCCTCTGATGGACACCTGTGGTCGGCACTGTCGCCTTCTGCAGGTCGTCAAGCTGCACTTGGACACCTCCAACTTCGCATTCATAGTGCACCCGATCGCCGTCAGCACCGCCTCTGTAAGCACCCCATTCTGCATTTGCTCCAGCGCCTGGAGCCTGCCCCCCATCTGCGGGATGTTGCTGTCCTGCACTTCCATGGTCGCCATCATCGTGCTGATCTGAGCCACCATAGTCATCTCCATCTGTTCAAGCCTCGTGTTGCTATCTCTGGTGTTCGTGATCAGCCCTGTCACCCACTCTGGCGCAGAATCTGGCGCACGCGGCTGATCTGTTCTGTCACTCGTCGACGGTGCCGATGTCGACCTCGATCGTGTGAGGGAACGTGTCCCTCGGCTCCTGCTGTTAGAGCTATCTGACGAAGAAGAGTGCGAGCTCTCGCGATGACGGTGCTCACGTCGTGCGACACTCTTCCCAGTCCTTCTGACGCCCTTGCGCCCTATCCTTGCCAAAGTGCTGTGCAGGCGAAGAGAGGTGCCAGCTGGGCGGACCCTTGGTGACCCTTCAACCTGGCACCATGCTAAAAACCACCCTGAAGGCACGCAGCCTTGGCCCAGACCTCTCGGCTGCGAACAAGCTCAAGCCGCCGAGGTCCCGCGGTTTGAACTCGAGCCAAAATTGCCACGGCGCCCTTGCTTCAAGGTTTGGAACCCATTGGGCGGCATGTCTGCCACGACAGCCGAAGCATGGTCACTGGAACGTGGGTCAGGAACATGAGCTCCTTCAGCGAGGGCCAGGCCCCATGGAGGTGCCCAGGGCAACGCCACGGTGGGTAGACAGTGACAAGCGCGTTTCGCTGCTCGCGAAGTCACTGTTCGCAAATGGCCTGGATCCACCGCGGGGCATTTACGATCAGCTACTTAGAGGCAAGCATGTGTGCGTTTGTTCGAACGTATTCGAGGTGGGCACTTTGCGAGTAGTGGGACGCACTCGATGAGTGGAGAGTCCGACCAGGAAGATCCTCAGCGCAACCCTCCAACGTGAAGGCTGCTCTCGAACCGAAAACTGGCACAACGCAGAGCTCCCAAGGCTTGACCGCTGGTCTGCACCCCGGGTCGCCGAGGCGCCCCTCTGCAGCGAGAGAGCGCCCGAACTGAAGGGGCCCAAACACACACACCCACACACACACACACAAACACACACACACACACGCACACGCACACGCACACGCACACGCACACGCACACGCACACGCACACGCACACGCACACGCACACGCACACGCACACGCACACGCACACGCACAAGCACACGCACACGCACACGCACACGCACACGCACACGCACACGCACACGCACACGCACACGCACACGCACACGCACACGCACACACGCACACACACACACACACACACACGCGCACACACATTCACACACACACACACACATTCACACAAAGAACAGGGTTTGCCATATTTTCCAATCTTTTCTGGGTTTTTGTCTTCCCCCCCACTTCCTATATTTTCCCATATTCTCCTTGGAGTCGACGATTACTTGTGTCTGTGTGTTCTTTCCCCTCCTGACGAACGGCAGCCGCAGACCGCGGACGGGGCCTCGGCCCAGATGTCCAGGTAGGTGTCGCGCAGCTGGCGCCAAGCCTGCGCGGGCGCGTGCCTCGCCTTGCCCCGACATCCCATCTCCTCCTCCTTCTCCTCCTCCTCCTCCTCGCTCCCTCGACTGCTCCATCCTCCCATGGGCTGCTCAAAGGTGCCCTTGGCGCAAGGTGCCCGCAGCCTCTCGCGCCCTGTTGGGAGCCCCCGGGGAGAAGATCGGGCCCTCGTGGTGGGGTGGTCTGGAGGCCGTGCGGGCCTCCTTGGAAATCCTGGGGGCACCTTGGGCCAGGGGTTGCTTCTAGCAACACCCGACTAGACGAGCGCGTTGAACTACTCGCAAAGAAACTACTCGCAAATGGCCTGGATCCGCCGCGGGGGATCGGCGATCCACTACATCGAGGCAAACACATGTTTCTTCGGACGTTTGCGAGTAGGCACTTTGCGAGAAATGAAACGCGCTCGGTGATTCTAGCAACACCCGCCGTCCTCCCCGTGCCTCATGCCTCCGTACCGGATCCGCTCGGGCGCACGAACGCACACGAATGAGAACGCAGATATCGCAACCAAAGATAGCGTCGCCATGCCGACGTGCTCGCCAAAAGACCAGATGGAGGGTTCCGGAAACCATGAACACAAAATTGTTGTCATCTCATGGGGGAACGCACTTTACTCAAGGGGCCCCAGGACACACAAATAAATACACACAAATAAAATGATTCCCCATATTTTCCTATATTTTCTGGGTTTTTGCCATATTTTCTGGGGGATCGACGATTAATTATGTCTGTGTGTTTTTTCTCCTCCTGATTTACCTCCGACGTCTTCCGCCGGCCCTTCCGCTGGCTCCCGCTGGCGGCTCCGCCCCCCTTTGGCTTCCGCCGCGACTCCGCCAAGCTCCGTCAGGGAGAGCATGGCATCTCCTTCGGCCCTGGAACGCGAGCGAGGCCCTCCCTGATACGCCCATGTCTTCACGCTTGTTGGTCATCGGCGAGAGCGGTCGCCAAGGCCTTCAAGTAGCCGGCGCGGGTGGCGCCCGGTCCTGGGCACACTGCGACGAGTGGAAGAGAGGAGGGATGCTGCAGAGGATGAAGATGGGAGGAGGCCTTAGACGTATGACAGAGCGCGTTCTTTGGACACTGGGAAGTGAGGGGGGGTCGAACAGGGCGCCCCCCCTTGAGATGCACGGGGGGGGGCCTGGGGGCGTTCCCCCCACCTCAAGGGGGGGAGTTCGAACCAGTGGAAGGCCCCCCCCCCTGAGCTGCAGGGGGGGGGATTCGAACCTGGGGTGGGGGAAGGGGACCCCAGCCCAAAGTACCCTTTTTCCTGGGGCCGGATTTTCATCCCGAATCGACTCGTTATGGAAAACCTACCGTTATTCGACGGTCCTGGGGCCCGGTGAAGACCCCCAGAGGCCGAAAGCGACCAAAAAACTCCTGTCGTAGTTTGCTTTACCACGCGAGCATGTATGGGAAGAGAAAGAGGGGGCCCTGAAATCTCAAGCCCAGTCCGGAATACCCAGTCTCCTGTCAAAAGAAGAATACACTCTACAATCCCCCCTCCCGGGGTACTCGGTCCCCCTGGGACACTGCAAATTACATGTGACTCGACCCGATCGTTCATGACCCTGACCCATAAGTATCTATACCATCCAGGCTAGGCCAAATATCGCCATCCCCCTTACGCTTTTTTCAGATAGTAGTATTCGCGCACACCCGTGTACCTCAATCTAGAATCTTCATAAATCAATGACAACAGCAATGCACAACACCCACACGCGCACGCACATGACGAAATCATATATACAGATATAACAATTACTCAGTGCGTGGAGCTCCCCATATGTGCATCCTGTTTTAAATGTAAGATTGTATTTGGGATCTGTAAATGAGCGTCTAGCCAGATGATCCACATGTGCATCTCATACGGTGCACAGCAAAAGCAGAAACACACAATGGGGCACAACGCAAAAACTTAACACTTGCAAAACACTAGAGACATCCCCACAAAACGGCAACGAACGGAGCCGTGGAAGCACCCTTGGCGGCTCCCCTTAGGTAGCTGAAACCAGCGCCCCGCCTGAAACATCCTCACAATCTGCTCTCCAAGCGAAAGATGTTGAGACAGAAAACGGGCAAACCGCTTGAGACATCCCCGCAAAACGGCCGCGAACGGGACCGCGCAGTACCCCTCGGCGGCTCCCCTTAGGGGTGCTGAAACCAGCGCCCCGCCTCAGACATCCTCACAATCTGCTCTCCAAGCGAAGGATGTTGAGACAGAAAACAGACAAACCGCTTGAGACATCCCCACAAAACGGCCGCGAACGGGACCGTGCAATACTCCTCGGCGGCTACCATTAGGGGTGCTGAAACTTGCGCCCCGCCTGAGACATCCTCACAATCTGCTCTCCAAGCGAAGGACGTTGATACAAAAAACAAGCAAACCGCTTGAGACATCCCCGCAAAACGGCCGCGAACGGGACCGTGCACTACCCCTCGGCGGCTCCCCTTAGGGGTGCTGAAACCAGCGCCCTGCCTGAGACATCCTCACAATCTGCTCTCCAAGCGAAAGATGTTGAGACAGAAAACGGGCAAACCGCTTGAGACATCCCCATAAAACGGCCGCGAACGGGACCGTGCAACACCCCTCGGCGGCTCCCCTTAGGGGTGCTGGAACCAGCGCCCCGCCTGAGACATCCTCACAATCTGCTCTCCAAGCGAAAGATGTTGAGACAGAAAACGGGGAAACCGTTTGAGACATCCCTACAAAACGGCTGCGAACGGGACCGTGCAATACCCTTCGGCGGCTCCCCTTAAGGGGTGCTGAAACCAGCTCCCCGCCTCAGACATCCTCACAGTCTGCTGCGTCGAGTAAGTCAAACAATGAGAAGGTCTGAGCATGAGTAAGTCTGGGTATGAGTGAGTCTCGGCATGAGGAAGTCTGGGGATGAGTAGGTCCGAGTAAGTCTAGGTATGAGGAGGAGGAGGAGGAGGAGAAGAAGAGGAAGGAGTAGGAGGCGTCCAAGTAATAACAAGAACCCCATCCTAGGATATGGGGAATCAAGCAAATGATTTTGCAAACCACGACATTGAAATTTATGTGGGGATGATTTATGAGAAGGGTCTGCCTCTTGGGGGCTTGACTTGACGACGGGGAAGAGCTCCGACGAAGAAATATGCGTTAATCATTGTGCTCATCTTATGTTGCTCCTGGGAGCTCTCTTGGATTGTCTTGGAAGCACGTGTGCTCTGTGGGGGACTCGTTTGGATTCCAGTCGCCTCACAAAATGCGCGTCCAGAACGCGCAGAACATTCGCGTTGTAGGGTTTCGCTGGGTCCTCTGAGGCGCACCTGGAAGTTTTTCCGGGGCATTCCGGGGCCTCTTGTGGGCGTCTGAGGGTGTTCTCGTGACCTCTTCAAAGCTCCTGGGCCGTCTCTGGGTTCTCCCTCGCCATCTAGCACTCCCCCAACCACCTTCCAAAACTGTTATGGTGGTGTGACTCTGAGTTGTCTTCGAGCTCCCGGGGGGCCCTTTACGGCTGTCATGGGGGTTTCGTCGGCCGCGTTTGGGCAGATTTGTAAGGCTCTTAATTATTGCGATTGTGTTGGGCCGTCTTGTGGCTCTTTCACGGCCGTTTTGGGCGGTCACGAGCTCTCTCGACCGCTGAGCGCACGCGGACAGGACTGGCGAGACTCCATGGAATACGCAGGGGAAGGGGACGCACGCAAAGCGGCCCAGTGCGGTTCCCAGGCTGTCCGCTTCCCACGGACTGCCTGTTCGGGGCTTCCCGAGGAGGTGCAGGACACCGTGAGAGGAGAAGGACCGATTCAGCTCGGAAGCGAGACCACGGAGGAGGGTAGAAACTTGTTCGTCGGCGGCGAGGCAGAGGCAGTCCGCTCTAGCGTGTGGCTGGTCGGGTCAACTGAAAGGCGAATTGTCCGGCGTGCAAGAGGGAGGAGCAAGACGAGGAGGGTAGAAGCACGATAGGGGGAGAGGCAGAAGGATGGGCAGAGGAGAAGGGTAGTGAAGTTTCCTTCAAGAGAGCAACGACGGCGACGGTGATTCCGGAGGCGTCGTCCTGGGGCTTCTTGAAGGCTTCTGGGGCCGTGGTGGGACTCTCGCGTGAGCAACAGGGGGGGGGGAAGGAGGAAGCAGGAAGGGGGGGGAGACGGAGGGGGGAAGGGCGTTGGGGGGAGGCTGGCCGGTAGGGACAGCGATGGAGACCTCGAGCATGGAGGCGGGTGGCGAGGATGACAGGACAGCTCGCCGCTTGGGGCCCGCCGCTGGGCTTGACGCTGCGACGCTCTGCGGTGGCGTCTCCAGCCATCCTGGGGCCCTCGCGGGTAGTCTGGGGGCCCTCGTTGGGGCCTCTCGGGGGCCTCTTCGGCGTCTCCCAGGGTCTCCTGGGGTCTCCTGGGGGCCTCCTGTGGGCGGCAAACTCAAAATGTCTGTCCGTGCTCCGCCTCTGGGACCCTTCTTGGGTTGTTTTTGGGGCCCTTTCTGGGCCGTCTTGAAGCCTCTTGGCCCATCCTGGGGGACGCTTGGGCCGTTTGGGCGCCCTTTTCGGGTGCCTCTGCGGCCGTCTTGGGGGCGATCCTTGGCACATCTGGGGCCGTTTTGGGGCGTCGGGGACACGAAGAACAGTGAAAAGCCAGAAAGGGGGTCCACTCACCGTGCCTCTCGGGGCCCTCCTGGAGGCCCTCTTGGAGCCTCCTTGGAAATTCTTCGGGGCTTCGGGGGTCGTCGAGAGGCCATCTTGGACGGCCTGGATCGATCAGTCGGCGACTCCTGGTCCTCTTAGGCTTAGGTCGGGCATGTCCCCCTACAGGCGGATTTCAGACGACAAAGTAAGAACAGTCAAACATATTCAAACACAGCTTTAAAAATAAGCAAAGAGGAGAAACATCGTCCCACGACTAGTCGTTGACTATTCTTGAACACTCTCCCTGTAGAGGAACACGCCCGACTTAATCTTAGGGCCGCCTGAGCCTGAGCCTGAAGGGGCCCCAGGGCACACAAATAAATACACACAAATAAAATGATTCCCCATATTTTCCTATATTCTCTGGGTTTTTGTTTTCCCCCCCACTTCTCATATTTTCCCATATTTTCCTGGGAGTGGACGATCAATTGTGCCTGTGTGTTTTTTCCCCTCCTGAAAGCCGCCCGGAAGAGCGTCAGCACGAGTCGTGCCGAACGCCGGCCGGCTTCCGCGGCCCAGACCCCGGGCTCCTTTGGTTGGTGGCCCCGGGTCTTGTCGATGGCCCCGACGCCGAAACTGCATAGGAGTGGCAGGTCGTCGGAGACTCTGGTGGCCCCGGGCCCGGGAAACAGACGACGACGCTCCACAAATCACGCGCAGGGCCACTACTCGCTACTACCCGCAAACGGCCCGGATCCGCCGCGGGGGACTCCGATCCACTACATCGAGGCGACCATGTGTGCTCGGGGCGTTTGCGAGTAGGCACTTTGCAAGTATAGGGAAACGAAGAATGACATAAACATAAAAACTCGGAGGTCCGCGTGGATCTCTTGGATCCGCGCTGGACCCGGCGCGCGGAGCGCGCCAGGGGCGGCGCCGGAGGCGCCGCCACGGGGCCCCAGCGCCGATCCGAAAAATCTGCGCGGACCTCCGAGTCATTATGCTTCTGTCATCGTTCGTTCCCCTAAGAAGCAGTGGAGCGCCCTCGGTGAGGACACCTCACATAGTCCTAGAGACTTCGGTCGGTGCAGTCCCGCGCGCCGGCGCCGCGGCTCGCCAGGCTGCAGCGCCTGCCTGCCCACGGGCGCTGCCGGCCCGCGGGGGCGCGGGCCGCGCGCGCAAGGGCGCCTGGTCGAGCTCGGCGCCGCTGTGGCGCAGGCCCAGGGAGGTGTGGCGGTTGGTGTGGCCGCAGTGCACGAGGGCGCGGGCGCCGCTGAGGCGCCTCGGCGGGGGGGGAGACGGGGCAAGGGCGCGGAGGCAGGGCCCGGGGGAAGAGAGGGGGCGCGGGGGAAACCGAGCAGGCGGGGAGGGAGAGCAGCAGAAAGGGAGCGCCCGCGGAGGAGGAGGAGGAGGAGGAGGAGGAGGAGGAGAAGGAGGCGGAGCAGCAGGAGGAGGAGGAGGAGGAGGAGGAGGAGGAGGAGGAGGAGGGGGATGAGGGAGGAGCAGTGGGAGGATCAGGAGGACGAGGACGAGGAGGAGGAGGAGGAGGAGGAGGAGGAGGAGGAGGAGGAGGAGGAGGAGGAGGAGGAGGAGGAGGAAGGGGTAACGATGAGGAAAGAGGGGGGAGGAGGAGGAGTGAAGAAGGAGGGATGACAGAGGAAGCACGAGGAGGAGGATGAACGATGGAAGGAGGAAGCAGAGAGCAGAACTGAAAGCGAGGCCTACGTCGTTTCTCCTCCCCGCCGACACGAAGGGGCACCTGGAGGATAGCATCAGGAGGTGGCAGATGCGGAAGCTGCTGAATGCCATCCCCGAGGTGGGGAAGGCCTTCACCAAAGTCTGGGAGAGGGCGCTCGGGGACGGCATGAGCGGCCAGCCGTGCCGCCCCAGCAGCTTGGCGCACTGAGGGCGCTCTGGGCTGACCGCTTCCCGACGTCGCCGAGGCTGGCCGGGGGGGGGGGCGACAGGTGGAGCCGCCGTGCGCCGCCTGCTCGGCACCAGACGGCTCGTACGGCCATGTCTGGTGCGACTGCGAAGCTCCTCTCGTGTCCGATGAGAGAGAGCAGATGATCGACTCGGACGTGCTGTCGGAGCGGTGTCTTCCTCATTGAAATGCGCTTCGCGTGCTGGCGCGGTCCCATGGCAGCCCAGTCTGGGGACACCATGTATCTGTCATATATAAAGGGGCCCTGGGACACACAAATAAATACACACACAAATACAAGGATTCCCCATATGTTCCCATATTTTCAAGGTTTTTGTCTTCCCCCCCATTGCCCATATTTTCAAATATTTTCTGGGGAGTCGACGATTAATTGTGTCTGTTGTGTTTTTTCCCTCTTGAATATGCCCTGCCTGTTTTGTCTGTGAGCGCCCCTCGGCCACCTGAGGTAACTGAGGTC